ATTTAGATAATAATGGTTTATTATTTTCTATAACTGTTTATTGTATGCTTGTAGATGTAATTTTGTTTTGCTATATATAGGATTGGCCATATTCCCTTATTTTATTGTTGTGCAAATTCAGGTTCTTGCCTGAATTTCCTTCCTAGTCTCCCATTTTTTCCACAGACAGAGCTCTCATCGTCTGTGGAAACTGATTGACCCAAGGGCCTAAAAACTTTTTTTACCTGTAAAAAAGATACCAGAAGAATGCAGCGCAGTTAATGTGGTGATTTGTCTTTGCAATTCACTTCAATACCTTATCTAAGGGAGCACTGTAGTGCGTGTTAATGTAGTACATTTAAACATCAGCAGATGGGGCCCTTGTTTCCTTTGAAGAATGATTTCTCTTTGAATTTTATTTTTTTAATGTCTGTGGCAAGAATGAATTTTTCTTGTTAAAACACATTAAATTAATGTAGTCTTTGTAGCAGATAGGGATCTAAACGCAGATCAGAATGCCTGAACTTTAGTGGGAAGCCAGTGTTTCCAAATCTAACTGGAGATCTAATTTTCATGGCTGGCCCTTATTTCTGTAACTGACTGAACAAAAACCTCTGCTTTGAATACCTCAGACATTTTCTAGGGTTTGGAAACCATCTGTTTGCCTTGTGGTTGAATCCATCTTTCAACTGTATTTCATAAATCTTTCCAGAGGTAGAAGAATAAAGCAAATTCTGTGTCTTCTCCAGAACAGGCAGCACTTTTCGAAGTTATTTACAAAATACAGTTTCCTTCTCCAAAGGTGAAATAACAGAAGGGTTGTATAAAAGTGAAGAAAAAGGCATTGTAGAAGCAAAGCAGAAATCACTGTAAAGACTAATGCTTTCTTTTAACTGTTGCATCTAAGGGAAAAGCATAGGAACATGCAGCTAAGGGGAGCATGTGTCAACTCAATTTCCTTGCTTTTGAAAGACTTGAGTTATAAGTGGAGCAGGTTCAATATTTGAATATAGTCGTTTTGTTTCTAAGCTTGGTTGTCCCCTAATGATTCTGTTAGAACTAAAATACTTGCATTCTGTTTGTAAGTAAAAAAAGGTACAGAGGGTGAAGCGATATACTCTGATGCCTTAACCAATCTTCTGAATGTGTTACAAATTTATACTTGTAATTTGCAAATGGGTGTCTCATAGTTTGGAATGACTTTTTCAGAGTTGTTAATCTTTCTGATCTAAATAAGAATCTTATTGGAATGTGGCTATAAAGTGGGTTTTTAACATAATGTATCATAGAGAGCAAATCTTTCATATTATTAACTTGAAATGCCAAAATTTCTCCTTCTGTGTCATTCTAATCTGTCATTTAAAATGACTGCTACTTGCTTATGCGAGCTTCTTCACCTGCTAAACATGTGGAATAACTTACAGACTACAGGTTTGGATTTTTTTTTGGGAAAAAACAGAATAACAAATACATTAAAAAATCCATAAGTGAAGAAGAGAAGCTTTGTCTGAAAGAGGAGCAGGCAGTTTGTGTTTGTTGGACATTGTACCACTACCCAAGGGTTGATACTAAGGGTTAAAGTCCTGCAATTTTAAAATTGAAAATTGCATAACATGCAAACAATTATTAGGTTAAACACATCGATTTGGTATATAATTTATTATTGGTTATATGTAAAAAATTACTTATGTGCAGCCATGATTTACATTTATTCTTTACTTTTACGTATGAGACCTGTTACTAACATTAAGCACATTTTTGGTGCCTAATGGTGCAGGCCATGCAAGGCCTGTCAAAAATTATTAATATTTTGATTCTATTTTTTAACTCCATTTTTGTTGGAGGTATGATTTGTTTTCCAGAATTTAATAGGGAGTAAACTTCAGAACATTTTACTGGTTGCTCATAGAGCTGATTTGGGGGCATACCTCATAAACTGTATGTCCCATTGAAAGATCACCCACCATTCTACTTGAATTAGAATTATGTTATCTGTGTGATATGGTATAATCTGAGCATCTCAATGCTTCCCTGTATTTTATTTCTGATTTCCTCATATATTCCCCTATATATTTGTCTGGTTTGGACCAAATTGTTCTGTGCTTTACACAGATGAAATATAGGGAGAAATAATCTGATCAAATCACTGGAGTTGTACTGGATTTTTACTGGTGAAATTCCCATAAAAATTTTGTTCCCTGCAGACATTCTGTGTAGCGGTGCTTCAACTTGAGGGAAAAATTGACTTGCACACCACATCGACTCTATTGGCATTTTCTTCCAAAATGGCAGTGGAATATTTTTCTGGTAAATAAGAAATGACAATTTTATTTGGGCCACAAAACACTAAGAAAAATAGTTTCCTATACAGTACACTTTTCTTTCTGTATGCATGAAAAGGTATGATTTTAAGGTGTGCATACAGTATATAAAACCAGACAAAACGTTTAGGTTAACCATGAACTAGTTCTTATATAGTGCATTAGATAAGTAAAGAGAGACTTAGATCCAAGGACACAGTACAGTTGTCTAATTTAAATTATTATTATTGTGGCTTATTGATCATTTTACTCAACTAATTTTTGCATCTCATTAGCCAAGTATTCGTCATGCAGGTGGTAAAATGGAATTTGACTTACTGTTGCTCAAAAGGGAAAGTAAAGAGGTTTAAACCTTTGAGTAGGAGGAAGGGAGGGAAAGAAAGTTAAAAGGGAGGTTACTTTCTTTAGAAGTAGGAAGTCTGCTTTAGTTGGAAACTGAGATAGTGCAGCTGTTGAGAGCAGCTTACATCTTTGGTCATGATTTGAGTGTCATTTGAAACTGTTCTGTACATTGTTAAGTGTAAAAATGTAAGAAAGGGAAAGGGCTTTGAAGAACAAGGCCCTTTTGGAAATAAATATCATATTTACAGTAGCTTTATCTAGGAATTTCTACACATATAAGTAATAATCATTACTAGGCATCTGTTAGACTGTTTAGCTAATTGTACCTAGTACATTTTCTAAATCTAGAGCTTATCTTGCAGCTTGGTGGTCTCTTTTTTTCCGGTTAGAAATGTACTAAAATAAAAATGTGAATTAAGATGTGAATTATATAGGTTAATCTTAAAGCTTTCTCTGTAGCTCTTTTTGAGAAAAGGTCTTTGGAGAACTTTTCTAATGGATGCTGGTTTGGGGTTCTGTCTTCTTGGAAGGCCTGCACAGAGTACATTGAATAAAAACAATACATAGACTACCTCTTTTTTTTTTTTTTTTCCCTAATTTGATGAGCAGGTGTGGATGTGGTGGAAGTGTTCCTGTGTGCTTCTTTTCTTGCTGAGAGATTGTAAAATGCCTGGCCACAAAGTATAACATAATGGCTGTTTGATGTAGCTCACTGTGGGGTAAATTTTGGAGAAAATAGGGATGTTCCATTCATTGTATTTCTGAGGTTGGAGCTCTATGAACAGGGTGAAAGCTTTAGGTGAGAAGAGCCTTTGACACTGGTGGTGTCAGAAACTCTCAGATACCGTGGGTCAAGAAGGGAGCCTCCTCCAGATCAGAGTTCACATCTCTCTACATCTCTGCACCTTTAATGGGGGAAGGTTGGGTATATTCAGTGTATTCTTTTTATTCCCTGCAAAACTGATTTACCTTAAAATTGTATAAAAGGGACTAATGTAAGAAAATACATAGTTTTCTCAACGTTTTTGAGCACGTCAGCAGAGCTGGTTGTGCTTACAGCTGAGCCTTACTGAGCTTGGAAATTTCCTCAGATCAGGAGGTCTAGCAAAGCCAGTGCCAGAGCTGACACTTTCATTGCATGTCAGTGGATTTACCAAAATGTGGCAGGCTTGAATTGCAGCAGCCCAACACCCTGCTCTTACAGCTGGAGTTTAGGTAGCGCTTAGCAATGCTCCTGAGGAGCTGTCTGAATCCCAGGGCTGTCTGTTCAAGATTGCAGAAAGTTTGACATTATTAATTCTAACTTTGGATTGTCTGACTTAAAACTCCATGTTTTAAAACTTTATTTTGGGCACGGTTTCTTAGCTTGGCTTTCAACACAATGTTCTACATGAGTAATGTTTGATGTTTTGCAATACTTTAAATTAATAGATAACCATTTACAACGTTAACACTATCTTAATGAAGATTTTTGCTTGGGATTAGAAACAGCTGCTGGAAATACAGTTCATCTATCATTTATAATCTTCTATTAAATTTGCACCTGGCAATGCAGCTATAGTTAAAAGTCTGTTAATTATGAGACCTGTGTTTGGGAGGCCTGTAGTCCTCTCATTTCCAATCTCATCAGGCTAGAATTTTATATGTAATATTTAGACTAGGGTGTCCATTTTACTTCTTGGGTGGGTCAACATTTAACTTCTTCCCTTCTCAATAAATAGGTAAATACTCAAGAATTACTAGAATGTGCCAAGTAAGAAAAGAATTGATGTTTCTTTTTTGCTTTTTTATCCTGTTCCTTCTGAAGCTGTCTTTGCCTGGGATGGAAAAACAAATAACAGAACAGAGATGAAAAATAGTTCATAATAAATGATTTAACATGTATAACTTTTTTCATTTGTGAATTGTCTGTGAGCTGCTTTGATTTTCTCAAATGAATTTGCTATTCAAAATTATTCACCAAATACTTTATCTGAATAATTTTTGGTCTAGAGATTGTTGGCAAGCAGATTGTTGCATGTATTTGAATTTCTAATTTCAGATATCACTCTGTATATGTTGATTAGATGTAGTAACGTTCGCGATCCCTATTTGAAAGAGAAGGTACTAGAACTCTTAAAATGAGATTTCTGCCTGAATCCTGGTGTTTGCAAGTTCAGAATTATCAGTGAGTACATAGTCTCCAAGTGGATGGGCTGTTCATTGCTCTTTGAGTGTAAACTCTTTTGACAACTTCTAACTCTGATGCCTCTCTCAGAAACATAAAAAACAACAAATTCGCCAAAAAATTGATATATGCAAAACCTGACATATTTCTAAAAAAGTATTAACTTGACCTTATATTATTAATGTTTTTAGTTTTCCAGATCCGATAGTGGGTACGGATTGCCTTTCTCAGGGAGCTGCCATGGTCAGGGCAGATCAGGCTGGAGGCTGGTAAGAGGATTGGAAGAGTTTATAGCAGCTGAGTGAATAGGACTTGAAAGGAAAATCAGAATATTTCATAGTAACAGAATAAATAAACATGTCAATTTAGGGACCACATTAAACTGTCCAGTATTGCATTATTTTAGGTTGAAAAATCTAATGAAGAGTATAGGAAGGATGGATGGGCAGAGAGAAAGATGATTCAATGTATTGTTTTTATGTAGCAGTTTCATACAAACTATCTCTAACCAGCTTACCAATAATGAGATATTGCTATATGGAACTCAATACAATAGCTTTTACATTTGTCACACAGGAAGACAAGACAATCTCTTGAAGAAAAAGAGATGGGGAAAATGATGAGGAGTATTAGAGGAATGGTATAAGTTCTCCTGTAGGGAGAGAAACAGAAAAGCACAGAAGAGTGTGTGAGAGTGAGGAGGATAACATGCAGAGTGGAGCTAGAACTGACCTGCTGGATCATCTAGTCTGACATCTAAAATACATCACAGGAGGGCTTGCTATATTAATCATGTTAGCTTGCTTGCTGTAGCAGTTGGTCACGCAGCTTTTGCTTAATTTTGCCACTTTGAAAGTGGCATTTTGGGGTAGCATTTCGTTGGGTGTTTTGCTATCACAAATGCTTTATATATCTTTGTTGGCAGTGTATTCCGTACCCAATGACTGGATTAAATACAGGCAAGTTCTAAGAAGAAAGTTCAGGCTTGGTTTAAAAATGAATAGTGATTTCTTAAAGGAGGACTAATGTTTTTAACTAGATAAGTTAATACATCCCCGTGAAAGAATAACCTCTAAGTGTCATACTGATCTGGTAGAAAAAAGGGGTGGTGGCCTTAGGTATAGTGGCCAAGTGGATTCCTAAAGTAAGTCCAGAAGAATAATTGTCACTGAATACATGTTTTAATTTGCTTTAATAAGTAACTTCACAGTGATTGTGTTGTCACAGTTCTGGATTAGAAAAAGTCTGTAACCCTTTGGACACTGCTGATATCGTAGAAGAACGAAATCGTAGAAGATGCTACTGTATTAGTTGGACAGTTGAGTAATGCATAATTGTTTTTGAAATCATGAGTAATAGTGGGAGTAATTTTAATAGGATTTGCTGGGGAATAAACAGGAGACCTCAAAGAGAATTACGGAGAGTGAACTTTAAAGGGAATTTTGGAGAGGGAACGAATGTTTTAGGCTCAGGGCTGATTTCAAGAGCTCTAATCTCATCAGTAGAGGAAAGATTAAGTGTGGCCTGTGTTTACATGCCCATGCAACTCCACAGAAGACAAAATTAATTGTGCTGACACAAATCAGAAGAATTTAGCTCCTTCTTACAATAAGGTGGCCAGCATAGCAGATGATCCTGCCAAAATCCAGTGAAATACTGAAGCTTGCACTTTTTCAATCTTTTTCTAGCTGGATGCTGTTCTTCTAGAGGTTTGCTTTCTCAATTTTTATGCATTTTTTTTTTGCAGTGCACTTTCATTATAAGTCTTTTTTTCCAGTTACATATTTTCTGGAGGCTTTTGAGATCTTCCTAAGCACTTTTGTGAGTCTTTTTATGTACCTCTAGTTACAGTCTGATTGCTGACTGTTTTGGATGAGTATTTGCAGTTTGGATGAATAGCTGAAGGTGCACCAAATGGCAGCATTCAGAGGTGTTTGACCAAGAATGATTGACAGTGTCTGTAACTACTTATTATGTCAAAGCTTCAGCACACCGATTGATGGGAAATGATGTATAATAAATTAGAATGATCACACATCATTTCCCATCGATTGAAATGCCAAATTCTTTGATGGAGTAATGAGTTATGGCCAATACTACTCACTGTCTTAGTAGGAGATTGATTGCATATCCCTTCATCAATGTGATCAAACAACTAAGGAATCCAAAGTACACATGTAGCACACAAGTTCTGCTGCATTTTCAGTATAATGTGAGAGCAGTACTATAAAGTCAGTGTTGCTTCTGTGGTATTATCAGCCTGAGTATATGTGAAACATGAGTAAGCATGTAAATGTGGCCGAATTCATTCAATACAGACGCTTTAAAGAAACAAGCTCTGATTCTCTCTGTTTTACAGACCAACAGAAGACTGAGTTTAAATTTACCAAAATCAGTTATGCAATAAATTCAAATTTAAAAAGTCCTAACTAATGAAAACTCCATTTTTGTTTTAATTTTTTCTCAATTGCATGTCCTTACAGAAATTAAACTTCATTTGCACTGACCCAGGAAAGAGTAGGTAGAGCTGTATCTCGAGGAAAGTACAAAGCCTCCACATTAGTAAGGAAAGTTTCTAGCAGTCTCCTAAGAATTGCTTTAGAATTTTGTGTTTTTCTTCCCTTTGATAAAGCTCTTCATCTCCATCTCCACTTGTATATTATTTGTACTGGCTAGTCCTTCTTTCTCAGGAGAGATACTTCAGTGCAAATGCATGTGTGCACACACACATTGAACAGTATTTAAAAGGCTGCACTGTGCCTACTCCAGTGTGTTACTGCTTATATACTCAGTGTTTCAGCTATCCAGTTGTGCTTCATGTATAGCAGTATTCTCCATTAGCCAAAAAACCCACCAGAAAGCATTGCCTAACACACAAGATAATGTAGTTGAAACAATTATGGTCTAGAACAAAAGAAGAATAAGACCTGTTTCTGGAGCCCATACATTGAACACAGAAGCCATTTGTTTATTATTTATCTGTGAGAGAATCTGATAATGAGGAAATGTGGATTTGTTGTGTACTTAAGTGACTTTCAAGTGTTTTATAAATAAATTTCCACTTGAAAGAATAATACTAAAATGAGGATTTCCAGATTACAGTTGCACAATAAGGACTGGTCATCAGAGCAACGACAGCAGTAGGAGATCAATGGATGGAAGCTGACTTTACAACAGGCGCTGTTGCTGTCTTGCTGTAGCAGCATGAGGCTTAATGGGGGCCAATTAACCCTACCTGTCATGAAGATTTTGCAGCAGGCAGTCACTTTCAAAGTGCTAGAGCAAGACAGCAACTGAGATTGGAGCTGGCTAGTTTAAGCTCTCATGAGAATGTACACTGCCCTGCGATCACTACTTTTATGGACTATGGAACCTTTGCAGTGTGAAAGCACTGTGGTCACACTGCAGTACTGAGTCTGCAGGCAAGTATTTGTAAATTAGGAAATGTTGGATTGTAGGTTGCTTGTTGATACTTATGCTTGTCTGTGTATGCATATTCACTATGGCAGAGCCTTTAATTACATGATCACCTGCTATGTTTTTCTACCATCTTCTGAATGCATTCCGTGGGTAACAATCAGCAACTTTTTAGTATCTTCTTAGTAGAAAAAGAGAAGCATGTTTCTATGGTTGTATGGATCCTGGCCCCGATGAAATTTGAAACTTGAACTTTTGTTCTTGAATGTGATGAACTTTAGGTCTAAATGAGAATGCAGCAGGAAAAGCCTAGGAAGTAGGAAAGACATGATTTGCTTGAACTGTGAGCTAGGTCAGATGGGTACCAAAAAGTGGTCCAAGGCATCTTTCTCTCTCTTCTCCATCCCTCCATCCATCCATCCACCCACCCACACACCCTGGAAGGACCGGCTGCCACTGAGGCTTCCAGTATATCATGGACAGTGTTTCAGTTTCTTTGACTGGGTATAGACTCAGCTATAGATTACAAACAGGGTTGCTCTGCAGATAGTCTTTTGACAGTCTGTAGTTGCTGACTGCTCAGCAGAGACAGGAAAACTCTTTCTTTTCCCAGAATTTTATAACTATGGAAAACCTAGGCAAAATATACAGGGACACAGAAAGGAAAGTTCTGTGGGTTAAGAACTTTTTTATCCCATTTCTAAAGCTACCTGTAGCAGTGACATTGTTAGAGTTTGTTACGGGTGCCTCCAGAAAACCTCAATGCAAATAATTGCATTAGCTGTTACAAGTGACAACAGGATGAACTAAAAAAGTAGCAACTGTATAATAATTAAAAAATTAACACTGAGAACTGTGTTTTTAAAATCACATAATATATGTACAGGCACATGAATAACAGAATTTTTAAAATTCTGCTCTGCAAGATGCAAACCCAGTGTTTCACTTAGTGCCACTTGGCTTTCATCCATTTGCTGTGTTAGAAGCCATTCTCCTGCATTCTCATTAGTACAACAGCAGCACGATGTACACAGTGCATAGCCTGTTCTTGAAAAATATATGCCAACTTCCACATTCCCTTTTAATATTTTTGTCTGTAAGGAAAGACTAAAATATATGGAAGTTGGTAGAATGACTGTGCTTTGGTTTTTTATACCAATGTAAGTCTCAGCAAAATTTGACCTCAGATGTTTAACTTGCCTCCCATGAAAATCAGTGTATTTGGTGCATCCAAGTTCTCATTTAAATGTACATTGAGATACTGACGTACTTTTTATAAAAGTGAATTTTTGACCGAGTACAGTAAATTGTAACAGCTTCTGACCCTGTTACAATAAATACATAATTTATCACAAATACTCTACTAAACACAATTTTTCTGAAGTATCTCAGAGAGGTAGTTACTTGCTATGCATATGCAGTTGCCACTTTTTAATATTTAAATATCCTGAAGTTTTAGGTTTTTGTTCAAAATGGGAAAGGCATCAGCTTTCATAGCTGAATCAAGATCAGTGTTAAATAATTACAAATGAAAAAATCATCTGAAGCTATCCAACATGTATTTTTATACATTATCTCAGAAGGTCAAAACTAAGATTGAGAAAACATGCATGAATACAAATTGCTTTGCCATATTCAGGTTCCTATGTGGTTCCTTTAGTTTTTATGGATGATTGAAACAACTCTTCAAACAACTGGGCTGCAGGACAGCAAATTCCAGGGCATCACTCAGCAATGTATGGTTCTGGAGACTTACCCTGTTACCAGACTCCCCTTTGCACAAATGCCAGCTCGCAATTGGGATTTAATATTACTGAGAGATACATTGCAGGGCTTTGAACTTTGAGAGAGA